TATTGGAAGAGAGCAATAAGGTCTCCCCTCAGCCTCCTTTTCCCCCAGACTAAACAGCTCCAGTTCCTTCACTCTCTCCTTGTAAGGCATATTCTCCAAGCTCTTCGCAAGCCTTGTTGCCCTTCCTTGGAAATGTACCTAATAAAGTATAGCAATAGCTAATTTTAAATTTGTATCTTATTTTCAGTGATTTTCTTTCTAAATTACTTGGAGTGAGGGTTTTTTTGTGCTTGAATTTAATGAAATCTTTACCATATGTTTTTTTTTAAATGTCAAGTATATTCCTATTACAGACTTCCCATAGGCCAGTAAATTTTGGAACTGCACTGTATCACTCAGTAGCATTGAAAGTTATCTCCGGAAGACTTAGCTGGTTTAGAATTTTTTAAAATTGTGGTTTTTAAAATGTCCCAGGAGTATTTATTTAAATATTTTTCAATGTATTGTGCTGAAGCAAAGATTAACAATGAATTTATGAAAGATCTGAGTAACGTTGGGAAATTTATTCAATTGTGAGCCCCACTTGTAAATTTCAAATGATGGATCAAGGTGTGCTAAAACTACAGATTCCAAATATCTGTTCTGTACACTGAGAACCATTGTTTCATGGGCAGACTTCTTATTCAGAGCAAATCTTTGTATGTTCTTTATCATATGGCTGTACTTTCATCAAGTACGTTTTTCAGTCATCGTGAAGGCTGTACTTGTTTATGCAGTTACAGGTGCAAGTATGCCAGTAACTGTGGATAAGGAAAAAAGTGAACAGTTTTCATAACAAACAGATCACTTATTCTGTACAAATAGCTTTGGTTTTAGATGAAATAGCGTGTTTTATTATTAATTTAATGGCCGTATATTTTTTAAATATTTAAGCTTTTGATTTGTTAAGTGTTTAACTGTACTGCATTGACTCTTGCAACCCACAGTAAGACACAAATGCTGTTTCTTGACTCCTTTAATATTTTTGCCCTTTACTGAGGGCAGAGGTTGTTATTTAATTTGAATAATTCAGTCAGTGGCTCTTTGACTGTACAAAGGCAATGGTACAACGCTAACGATCTAGGCCAGAATGTTGCTTTTATAACTGCTTGTGATTGTCAGATGTCTGTATTTGCTATGTTTCATGACAGTGTGGTAACTTACATTCATAATTTATGAATTACTAATAGCACTTGAAACTCAGATGAATTCTTCATCTGTACAATAAAACATAAAGTAATAACTACATTTTGGTAGTTGTTATTTTTGCTATTATCTATTGATTGTAGCACTCACTAGTTACTTACTTTTCCCTAAGCAGGTCATAATTTAGCATGGAAGTATATGATCCATTTTCCTAACCGTTAGCTAACTAGTTTCATTAGTTTGCATATGGAGATATGCAAACGTTTTTTTCTATGGTAAATGCATCTCAAGGGATGTAGTCACATCCATACAGAATTCAGAATTTTTCAGAATGTAAAATGGAACATGGGAGATCCACATTGATTCAGATGGTTGTTTTGCAGTAGTGTTGCTGTGTTACTCTGTTACGCTACAGTTGAGCAGTCTGCAAAACAAGAATTTTTGAAAATGCCCTGAAATAATCTACTTTCATGTGGAATGTTTCTTTCTGGAAAATTGAAAAAAAAAAAAAAAATCTCTTCTATTTTGTAGCTCCTGGAAGGAAGCTTTGCTAGAGAAGTTAGCCATGAAGTGGATGGATTGATATTTCAGCCTACAGGAGTAAGTAGTGCAATAATTGATTTTTCTCCCCTGCACCCCAAAATTCTCCTCCTCCCTCACCTTTCATCCTCCCATCTACTGCTTAATCTTTAATTTGTCAGGACAGCTTTTCGAAGTTGGTTCTGATTTTTCCAGTTCCTCAGACAACTTAATTTCAATTAATTGCAATTCAAGTTATAGTATGTGTGACTGTTAATTCATAGATAAATTCATGGCAATAACTTTCAGAAATTTCAGAAATCAGCTCACGTTTTTGTGCGTTTGTAATACAATATTCTACTAAGTGAGGAATTTTTTTCTGACTGCATGACCCGTTGGTTTGAGCTCTTGCATTATTTTTCTTAAGTATGTTTCACACGTTAAAATTTTAGTAAAAGGTTTAGGCATTATAATGATGTGTGACTGTAGTGGGGAAGGCATCAAAAGTACAGCAGACATTCAGAAACAACAGTGTAAATAGTTCTCAAGCAGGAAACATGGCTTTAAAGGAATTCAGTAACAGGACCTCTTCCAACCTCTCCCTGCTACTGCTGATTTAGGTACAGTGTCACTGCAGCATGTACTTTATGTTGGTTTAGACTGTGACTGTAACATCATCCATATTGACATCTTTTCTTAGCTTGCAAAACAAGGAGTCGATTTTGACTACTGGCAGTTTGACAGAGAATCTACCCTTCATATTATTCACAGAAAATATCTGTATTCAGTTTTCCAGATAAAACTTTTCTTCTGACGAACTTCACATATTGCTGATCTCAGCAAGCAATGCTAATGATGTGCTCATCTGGAAATAAGATTAAACTTTTTATTGCAAGTTCTACATCAACTAACCACAAAATGAATGATAACTAGAACACAAACTTACTTTCTTTTTATATATAGTTATTTCAATTTCAAAGCAAAGCTAGTAGGAGAAAGAAAATTCATACTTGCATAGGAAATCCTGATAATGTCTCAGAATACTGTTAAAACCCAAAGCAATTGTAAAGGCTTCTCAGAACCAGTTTTCTGAGTATTAGAGGTTAAACTATGGAGATTTACAGTAGTTAATTTTGAAATGATATTTTCTATTTGAAATGAAATTACTGAAGAATGTGTTTTTTATTCTTGCTGCTGCAGTAAAGTAATATTTGTGTTTCTAGAACTTGTTTTGTGATTTAGCATACTGAGAAATTTATAACCCAATAAAACAACAGTTTGCTTGCATAAATGCTTGTAAAAGTTTTTCATCTTTAAAATACGGGTTATATTTGTTTAGTCCAATACAATGTTCAAATTTCAGCATTATTTCAGGTTTTATGAAATATAAGTTCATTGCATTTGTTATTAAAGTGGTTTTCCTAGATTAAGCAATGTGCAGTTTTCTTGTGGTTTCTGTAGCTGAGAAAATGCAAATTACATATTCAGTGTAAGAGAAATTATTGAACACTTGTTGTAAAATAAGTGCTAAAACTGATTAATTGGAAAGGTTTAAGCTGATATAGATAGCTGATACTGCTTTTTTATTTTATTTTTAATGGGAACTGGGATTATTGAGTGTGGAGAAGAGAAGGATCAGGGGAGACCTTATCGTGCTCTGAACTACCTGAAGGGAGATTGTGGTGAGGTGGGTGTTGGCCTCTTTTCCCATGTGACTGGCAATAGAACTAGAGCGAAGAACTGGCCTCAAGTTGTACCAGGGAAGATTCAGGTTGGACATTAGGAAAAACTTGTCCAAAAGAGTGGTCAGTGCTGGAACGGGCTGCACAGGGAGGTGGTGGAGTCACCATACCTGGAGGTGTTCAAGAAACGTTTAGATGTTGTACTAAGGGACATGGTTCAGTGGGAAATACTGGTGGTAGGAAGGTTGGACTGGATGATCTTGCACATCTTTTCCTGCCTTGGTGGTTCTATGATTCTATGTGGTAGGAAATACAATAGGCAGTAACACAAGGGCAACAATATAATAATGCATAAATGATTCCTTGATAATAATAATTGAAATTATTTTTCTTTTTGTATTATAGTTGCAGTTGTGTGATGTGTTATACTACTTTTAAGAGAAAGACACCTATTGTTGAGTGAGGTAGAGGCCTGAATTTTTGTCATGGCAAGGCTTAGAGAACTTGATAAAAAACAGTTTGTTTCAAGTGAAGAGACCATGGCGTATCCACAGGAAGACAGGGAAGTTTAGGGAACATCATCTGAGAACTCCTGAAGTCTCATGTGTGTTTTGAGGAAGAAGAAGGCAAAAGTCAATGTGAATTACAAGATCACGAAAGAAGGATAAAGAAGCAGCGGAGAATGGTAGGTGGCCATTTACAGACAGGAAAAATCGAGGGGAAAAACACTAAAACACTTTCCATACCTTTAGTAGTTAAGTGAGAGTACAGAAATGAACTCATTATTTAATATAAAGAGTGTGGATCTTATTTGTTGTCTGCTTGAACATCTTTTCGATGTTCAGTCAGAAAAGCTTCTCTTCATCTCTGGTCATAGATGCTTGTTTCCAGATCAGAGAATATGGATATATTTCTCACTGGCATAGGCAACACTGATATTGGGAGTAGAAACAGATGGAGAAAAATACTTTGTTACTTTTTGGTTTAATTATGTCTTATGATAAAAATCAGAATACCTGAAGTGATTTCAGCAGCCTCTAAGAGCTCTGGGTTTGAAGAGATTTCTCATCAAAGTACTTGTGAATTGGTTCAGTTTTGAGAAACTGTCACACTTTGATGAAAAGAGATTCATGAAAATGTTTTACTACCAAATTTATGGTTTCAGTTAGGTATAATGTAGTTTGCTATCTTTTGTTAGTCTTTCTGTGTAAAGTTGTTATGAATAGCGAGTTTCTTGTACTGAAACAGAAGTTTGTTTTGTGTTGTGTCTGGTGATGGTAGAATCAGCACTAAGGAGAAAAGCGGTCATTTTCTGTCTGTGCAGTTTAGTTTATTTTACATGATCATACTATAGTGCATTATTTTTCCCAGTTAATTCACTGCTTGAGTTGTTACTCATCTTGTATATTACCCAGGGTATGAGAAGGGCCTTAGTTTCACAATGACAATTAAAAGACAGTGACAGAAGCCTCCCATCTTCTTCACAGCTTTCACAGATCATGAAAAGAGTATGTTTAGTGCAAGTGATGGAGATTTTCTTTCTGGTTTATAACTGAAGAATGCTTTGTAGGTGATTTGATGCAATGTGTGCATCACAGTAAACCCCACGCGCCCGTCATACCAACCATTCTCTAACAACTCCATGATGAAAGACAAATATAAGACAATGTTTTCTTACTATTGTTTCTCTTCTTCCCTTTGTATTCATCTTCCTTTCCTCTGTTTTCTTTCCATGCATCTTCTTTATCCAGTAGCCTGTTTCCCACATTTCTTTTGGTTTCCCTTTCATGTCCTTACTTCATAACACTCCTTTTCCTCGCATCACGTTCTATCCATTTAAGATGCTCCTGATATAACTCCTGTACAGTTAATTCAGCTCCATTCCATTTGATCAGCTTTCTGATCCCTTTACATGTAACAGGTTGGCAGAGCAGGGACCGAAGCTAAGTGCTAATTAGGAGGAGTGAAACAGGCCAGCAGGAAACTTCATGGACAGGTATGTTGCCCAATAATTGTGCCCCAGACAATGAGCAGATTAGTTTGCAAGCAAAAGCCAAACAACTTATAGAACAATTCATAAGTTGTGAATAAGATTGGAAGCTTTCAACCATTGTTTCTGAAAGATTGCTTTAAAACAGCAATCAAGATCACACACATGTTTTAGAAAGCTTGTGGTTTGCCAACGTGTGTGGTTTTATTGAAAATATCGAAAATTGCCTCTTATCTTTTGATGGTGGAATCAGCTCTGACCTCTGCCCACTCATCAGTGAAATTACTTCTGTTATCTGCCTTATAAATCATGCTTTCAGCCAGGTATCTGCTTGCAACTATCTAATTTTTCTGCTAGCAATCTCTTAATAACTGATCTTTTGCTGGCTAGAACTATTACTTTACCTTGCTTGGGAAGAGGATATAGGAATTATTTTATTACTTCAGCAGCCTAAAAGAAGGCTAGGTGGCTGTCAGTTAGGAAGGGCTGAAGAAGCTGAGTGATTGTGGAAAGCTCGTATCAGAACTTACTGTCTTTTTCATCTTTTTGCCTCCTGAGCTCACTGATTGTTTTGGCTCAGGCTGATTTCTGTTTTGTACTTCTGTGTGTTGTTATTTTGGATGAGGGATGAGATCCGGTTGTGTGAGTTCAGGGTGACTTCAGTGAAGGAAGGAGAACAGCTACTGAACTTTGTTTTAAGATAAAGATTACTTTTAAAGAATGGCTGAATTATTTAACTCATAACTCTCAATATTGAATGCTAAGAAAAAGCTTAGCCTTGAAAATGAAAGGAGAATAACGAACAGATTTTTATTACTGGCTAACACTGAATGTGTTTTCAATACATCTTCCTTCCCTTGGAAGACTTCATGGTGGTCTGAAGTGCTTGGTTGCCTGTTAATTATTTGTCCTATTATGATTGTATAGTAGCTGTTATTCTTTTCTGTCCTTATAAAAGTTTACCCAGACATCTCTGAAGCTGACATTAAATGAACTATCAGCAAGATACCACCAAATGAAATCCCTCTTAAAGGCCATGTTTTGTTTCATTAAGCAATGCCAGTTTCTCCTAAAAGAAAAAAAAATAAATAAAAATTAAAAAATCCTGTAATTGGTAAGCGTTTTCACAATATATGTTTTGTTGGATCCTCTGCTAATTTTTAAATGTATACCAAGTCAGTTGTTGACCTGTATTTGAAGATTGAACATCATGTCTACAAGTGACAGGGCATCAGTAATTGTTGAGTATTTCTACTAGAACACAGGTAATGACTTCAGATAGACCCACATGTAGTCTTGGTGTATCAGTGTTGGTGTATAAAAATTTAAGAACAATCATACCATATGTTTTTGCACTTTTTGTGCTGCTGCAGGTTTTCCTTTCACAGAGAATTTGCTGTCAATCTCCT